ATACACTGCCACGAGTACCCTTGAATCAGAGGGCATAAGTGAATTTCGTATATTTGCTATAACAATCGACTACGTTACTTATTTTCGTATCAGAGTATAGTTTCAGGACTACCAGTAAATCCGTAATATGAAATGTAATAACCCTATTTCGTCTAAGGTAATGAAGGACTGGTAGTAGAATTTTGTCACAATGATATGAGTTGCACTTTTGAGGTTCGACCTCCGCTGAGGGTGTTGATAAGACCGATGAGAGGCAGAAATTGCAGTCCACCCTGGATGAGAACAACTTTTGGGAAAGCAAGGCTATGTGAAATTCAATGGAAACGTCAGCTCAGGATGAGAATAACTTTTGGGAAAGCAAGGCTATGTGAAATTCAATGGAAAAGTCAGCTAAACTCATATCGGGATGAGAACAACTTTTGGGAAAGCAAGAGTCAGCTAAAACTCTATCCTGGATGAGAACAACTTTTGGGAAAGCAAGGCTATGTGAAATTCAATGAAAACGTCAGCTCAACTCATATCAATTCGTGGCAAATTTCTTCTTCTACCAGTCCTCCATCACCTAAAACGAAATTGGGTGAATACATCTCGTATTACTGATTAAAGCAAGGTTGAAAACAACTTTTGGGAAAGCAAGGCTATGTGAAATTCAATGGAAACGTCAGCTCAACTCATATCATTGTTGTGGAAAATTCTACTACCAGTCCTTCATCACCTTACACGAAATAGGGTGAATACATCTCATTACATTGATTTAGTGGAAGTCTCTTCTACTACCAGTCCTTCATCACCTTAGACGAAATAGGATGAATACATCTCATATTACTCATTTACTGGTGGTCTCGAAACTATACTCTTATACGAAAATAAGTAACGTAGTCGATTGCTAAAGAAAATATACGTTTACTTCATCATCACTTTCACCAAAGAATATGATATAGCAAAGAGGCCTGACCTTCCTTGAAATTCACTTTTGCCCTCTGACTCAAGGGTACTAGTGGCAATGTATCCGAGTGGTTAGCGTGTCAAGCTCCCATCCTGCACTGTCGCGGTTCGACTCGCGCTGAGGATGTTGATAAGAACTATGCGAGGTCGAAACTGCAGTCCACTCTGGATAAGAACAAATTTTTGGAAAGCAAGGCTATGTGAAATTCAATGGAAACGTCAGCTCAACTACCAGTCCTTCATCACTTTAGACGAAATAGGGTGAATACATCTCATATTACTTATTTACTGGTAGTCTCGAAGCTCTATTACGAAAATAAGTACTTTATCTTCTTATGCGACTTAGGGTAACTAAATCTATAATTTAGATCTGATGATTGTCTCGAAATCCTACTTAAAACAAATAAGCGAGAACTATGTTGCTGCGATTGAGTCCAATCCCAACATTTCGCAGTGCGACCAGACTCTCGTATTCATCTTTGTCTGATTTTATCAGCCCTTCGTATATCAGCCTTGTTGATCTTGTTCGCTGCACCCTGACTGGATCTCTTAGTTGATTGGCATGGCAATTGACCCTATTACACGATAGCCAGATGGTTTTGGGTGGCAGACTCGACTATATTCCTTTCCTATTTTTACAGCAACGCATTGTATGCCTTCTTCAAGGAATATCTGAAGTTGGCTTATCCGTTTACTATTAAACAGCGATCCGAGTTTACTTGTGATAAGCGCTACAAAATGATACATAGCAAAATAACTTCATATAATGGTTCCTCGAAATGGCCCCCTTATAGGTCCAACATCGGAGAGTATAATTTATCAAAGTCTTTTCGTCATCGCTTGTAGTCATACCCAAACACTTTTCACATGTCATCTCACCATGGATAGCAAACTGAAAGGTCCAGATGAGGCCTCTTCTCTTCCTCAGGCTCTTCAAGCTTCTAAGCCCATCACAATTTCTAGCTGGTTTCCGATTGAACAGCACATACTCAAGAATATCGTGAAGCAAAGCTTTCCGCTCAATTCCAAATTTAGTGCTGAGATGGTTGTAGAAGGGCATTTACGGGTTGATTTCATGGCCATATTTTTTATGCAGAATGCCACCGGGCAGCCCGACAAGCCAAGACACTTTAAATGTATCCTCTCTCGTAGCTATACTTTTATCAATAGGATAAAGAAGGCAAATACAAACTGAGAATTATTGAAAAGTTTATGAACCCTTCTGACATTGTAACTGAAAGGAAAAAAAGACGCTTGATTTGCCTAATTTGTGATCTGAGAATAATAACTAGCGTTTTCTTGGCACTTTTAGGGCAAAGCTGATTCAGGCAGCCTTATACACATTCAATTCTTTTGGAAAGTACTTCGCGCAATGTATCCTCAGCTTATTCCAGTTCTACTAAAATTAGTTCAATTTTATTGTGACCTCCTTTTACGCCACAAATATTTGAAAGATAACCTTCGTAAGAATACCATCTTAGTGCCGGAGGCGAACATGCACGCAATGGCAGTTTGGGATTCAAAGAATTCCTTCAGACCTTTCACCTTGTATGGAAAGTTATGCGGAAGGCATTAATACGCCAGAGATTAGATTGCTGAGCTTAACGTAGAAACCATCTTTGCACCTTCCTCCGAGCCCGATTTAAGCGTGCCGAGATCTCCTCTCGCATGCTATGATTGAAATAAGCAGAAAAGGATACAATTCTCCAGCGGACTTCATCATGTACTAGGTAAATAATGGTCTAACGTTCCCAGTAAAGTCAAGTAAGGATACCGTTCAAATATATTTTTTACGTTGAATGAAAGGTCAAATTACATAAAATATGATATAATTTGCCCTTCCTTTGAGGAGGGTGTGGCTGCAAACTCAGCACTTTATTTCAAATACTTGGATATTATGGGAACATTCCAAGTGGAGAACAGCATAAAAATACTTTGGAGCATAAGTCTGGACACATGGTTCATCCATGCTTAAACAAATGCTGTCAGTGACGAGGCTTGTATGGAAATACCTAGCCATCATCACAAGGCTAATGAGTTAGTCACACTCAACAGGTTACATTCGGGAAATAAAGGACTGCTGTGGGGTTATTCAGTTTCCATATTCGCTATGATGTGGGAATTTGCCTTGCTTAATAATTAACCAAAGCCTATCTTTAATTCAACTACCCTAAAAACCCAATGCATGCTTCCAATAAAAAAAAATAAAAAACGAGACATGATAATAATGCAAGTCTACAAAGCAACCGCAATGAAATAAGATTAAAACTATTTATTGGACTACAGAGGCCTTAGCCACAATATGCAACATTAAAGGAATCATTTTTCAACTTGATCAAAGCTAACTAACTTAAAAAATAAATCATGTCACCAAATTCTTCAAAAGGCCACAAATTATCTAGGCTAATTTCCAAAAATAAAATTATGAAATAAAAATAATTTTTGGCATTATTTAAATGTGCTTAACAATTTGGGAGGAGTAAGTAAAACTTTTAAAAAGCAAAGTACGAGAGTCCGATTTTCTTTTCTTATAAAGCTTTGGTATCCGTCCTGTGACCCGAGGGCACTCTGGCAGTATGGTGTAGTGGTTACTGTCTCAAGACTATACGCTTCCCTACTCAGGTTAGAATCCCGACTAGTTAGCTTCAATTTTGTAGTGACGATGATACCTTGCTCTAATGATGTTCGTCATATGACGGACAAAAGATTAGCACTTTTTCACCGGAATCAAAGGAGATTACCTCGGAAACAGAATCAGCCTGAATCTTCCAACAAAGCCAATCGACAGATATTCAAGAGAAATACGCCGTCGTCTTCTGGCGGAACCGACCTTCGAATCTCTTCATCAAACACTTTCACTCGAAATGGAAGTAAGCTCAACAATTAATTTCAATAGCCTTTCTCATCTTTCTTTTAACCACAGGCGTACCATAATCAGCAAACCTACTAGTTTGAGACCAT